CCTGAAAAGCTTGCAAATTACTCGGTTCTTCACTTAGTAGCTTAATTTCGTCTGCATATTCTGTATCAGGCAGTTTGCCACCTGGGAGTAAATCGATGCCGCTATCCTCGCACGAGGATAGGGCTGTTTCAAGAATTAAATCCATCACGAAGTTATTTAGAAACGGAAGAGAGGGCAACCCTGCCGAACACCACTTCCTATAGTGAAGCACAAAGACGATCTTGCATCCAAGCCCTGAAGAAAGGAAAAGCAGCGGGCCCGGATGGGCTTCCTCCTACGCTTCTCAAGTTGTGGGGCGATGATCTCGTAACATTTGGCCACACGAGCCATACCTTCATCCTGGAGCGAGTCACTGGCCGTTCCCATTTTCGAGAACGGATCTCACAACGACTGCGCCAACCACCGTAGAATAAGATTGATTCCAAACGTTACCAAGGTATTAGGCTCAATCATATTTCGACTTGTGACACCGTTCAGGGGAAACAAATCCCAAACCGAATTTAGGCCAGGAAATAGCTGAAGTTGACTGCTTCTCCTACCTCGGTAACTGCGTGACTAACGACGGTAGCCTCTAACCGCCCACATTTTAAAGGCTCGAGCAGCGTACGCAGGACCGAAAAACATGTTGCGTCAAGTGACGTTTCACTCAAGTTAAAAAGTCGCGAATACTACGCCACTGTACGATCAGTTCCAATTTACGGACGCGAGACCTTGAATCTGAGCTTAGAAGACATCCGTCGCCTAGTGGTTTCTGACAATCGGTGGCCCAGGTGGGATGAGGCCATCGAGTTAGTAACCCAAAAGTCGTTGGGTGTTTGGAAATGTGTCAAACACGAAGCCACTATCGCATCGGAGTGAATCCAATAAGCTCCGTTGCGTACGCATATCGCACCGCGCCTTATTTACAGTACGGCTGCAGACTACAGAAAGCCACAGGGAGGACAGAAGATGACACGGAGGTGAGCCATGAAGGAATGTACGGAGAGATCCAGTTTTCAGTTTGAACAAGCAGTAACTATGCACTTTCGTGCGCCGGTTTTGGTTGCTCACTTTCAGCTTCCCATTTGGATGAATAATAGGACAGGAAAGTTAAAGGTAGGGTCGAACAGAAAATGGAGAAGTTCAGTGGTGCAAGCTCGCAAAGAAACTGAGATGCAAGAACGCCACCGTTTACGGCACACTATCGGGTACGATCATCGCGAGGATCCTAGCCAGGGAGCCTAACGGGACCTATGTGACAGACTCCTGGTCAGGGTTTTCATACCCTCGTGCGAGGTCACAGCTTGGCCATCCTAGACTTTCTTCCATCCACTACTTGCCTAGGCGAACATCGCTGTAGACACTGAAGGCCGTGGCAGCAAACCGAAAGCAACGATCACCTACTTATAGGTCCCGGGTGCCTGAATTTACTTTTGTATTACACACTTTTGTGTGATAAGCAGCAGACCCCATTATTCTAACCATGAACATAATGTCATTTGCGGGCCTGTGACAGCGACTAAACCACTGCGCCCGTTGGATTGGTTACTGTGCTGATCATAGATGCTCGCTTTTTCTGCCTCTAAAATGAGGCCCAAATCCTATCTTCCTCACACATTCTCACTTGTATGGATTGAGTTTAGCAGCGGTTAGCAAAGTTCGCTCAACTGCATTACACTGTACGAAGATGATGCCACGGGCTCCTTTATTACCTCATCTAGTCTCGATGGGGCCGTCTCTAAATTAAACGGAGAAGTTTGCGACTGTAATCCATGGCCACAGCATCTCTTATTCCTCAATGCTTCGAAATCTGACTAGCCGTTTCTTCCTCCTTTTTGGTTGTATTCATCAGAAAAAGGTGAAAAGATATTGCGGTCCAAAAAGAAATAACAATGATAGGCGCCACTGTTCATGATAATTAGTGCATTATTATATGTCACATTTGTTGGGGTCAACAGTGATCAACACAAAGCACGGTACAAAAATCTTCATGACAAAGAAGTGGCTGCAAGGTTGGCTCGTGGACGGTGTATTGGCAATTAGTGTAAACCTAAACGGGCGGATTTTCTCGGAAAATTTGCAACTGAAACCTTCGGCTCGCCAATAGCTCACCAACAAAGCACCAGGGTAATGTGAGAACCACGTTTTATTGGGGACCAGTGTCCAGTTCGTCGAATCGTGTGCGCTCGGAGCGGGGTAATAAACGCACCTTGGTACCCAATCAAGACGATGGTCAAGGTTTAAACCGGGAATGTGGTTCGCACACCTAGTCTTGTTTCGTTTGGTTCAGTTGGTAGTGCTTTATTGACCCGATTATAGTCCCGCATGCTAGTTTCTTATTGTCTTACTTTCGTTGAAAAACACCGCTCGAAAAGTCTACAGATACTATTTGACATACTAGGGTGTATAGAAGCATTCCTTGAGGTACCCGTGAAGATCGATCAACCAGAACCCAAGACACAAACCAGCGACCGTAAGCAAGTTCTAGGGAGCCATGTTCACACCACAAACGAGAATCGCTTCGATACAGAAAAGCGATCACCTTCTCAATTACATAAACAGTCTCCAAATCGTAAATTAAGACACTGTGAACCATTTCATTGCTTGAACCTCAAGAGTCGTGCAACAGATGTCTCACGATTACGAACAGCATATTCTAGGAAGAACGATCCAGCTGTCAGTACGTAACCGGGTGCTCAACTTCCTCGAGTCTGAAACGAACGCAGATCGACCGTCGCAACAATTGGTGGGGTTGCCTACAAGACTGACGATCGTCAAGTTCAATTCAGTTCTTACAACCATTAACCACGCACTTTCGAACGCCGATTTTCACTGCCCATTTGGATAAAACAGCAGTATGAAGATCGTACGAGAGCACTACCCTACAATGCCACAACGAATTAGTTTGCGCCCAGTTGATCATTTGTTTCGGTGGGCGTTTCCACGGCAAGATAGCAAGAGTTGAGTCACAATAAGCTGCAGCATGCCTCACTTTCAAAATGTGCTGAATGGAACACGACCACCAAACTTCAAGTAAAGAAACACGTTCAGCGAAGGCAGTAAATTCTGTTTCCAAGTTAAACGAACTCATCCTTGAAATCGGTGTTTCATCGAAAGCCCGCCATCTTCGATTGATTGAAATGGCAGTGCAGTGTTATGAGTGCGACCGTGTGAGATTCGGTGCAAACTACTTCAGCTGTTGGTCGTTTTTAACTTCAAGTGGAACCGTTGTAGCCCCCAATTGAATCTGCCTATTGTGTTCCATCAGCTTCAAAAGTAGATAGATAGAAGGGCAGAATGAAGATAGCAGTGTTGAGGGCAAATTCAAGCGGAAGACAAGATTCACACAGGCTGCGGTTGCAAAAATATTAAGTAGGTGCACGAGCGCCACCGTTTGCGACACTCAGCGCCACTAACCACCGGTTACCATGATTTCAGGGTCCCCATCTGAGGAGCCTAACGCGCGCCATGTGATCCAGTATCCTGTTTAGGGTTTTCACACCCTCACACCAGGTCTTAGTTTGACCGCCCTTGACCTTTTTCCATCCACTGCCTGCCTCGACGAACTTCGCTTACCGTGGCAAAATATAGATAGGTTCCCCGGTTCAACTACTTCCTACTAACGGGGGAATAAGGAGGTTGTGAAACCCCATAAACTAACACACCATATATACATACGTACGTGTTTTGTTTAGCAGGCCCTGGTCAGAAATCACGCATTCGCGCCGATCTAACATGAGACGCTCCACAAGCACGAGGGTTGTAAATGAGAGAAGTTGGTTTGTTGTATGCTGTAATTCACATTAAAACAGTTGCCCTGTGTTTCTTTCCCTCGATTACCGGCCCAAGTTTAGAAAAATAAAGAGTTGACTGATTATATCGCGAAAAATGACGGAAGAGTACAACCGTAATACATCATTTTCCACTACCATCACATTCACTGCTACAGGAGCATCGAGTGAAACTTTCCTGGTGACATTTTTCACTAGATCGAAACGAATTCGTCCAGAGTAGCCGGCAGAACAGAAAAACGCAACCGAATTATTCAATTGGATATACAGGGCAGGAAACACTATAGTGAACCTCGTGCAATCCCCGTGTGGACCACAGAAATCGCAACAATACAAATTTGCCCTAACTGTATCCTCCTCCATCAAGCGTACTTGATTATGAGATGCGCAATGCTGGGAGTGGTAAACACAGTACGACTGTCAGAGATGAGATATCCTTTATTTGACAGCATAATTTTCCATGTCTCAGTGCAGGTTTACTACGGTTCGTCACACTACCTGTTTCTTCCACGTATTGGATTTGGCTTGTCAAACGGAATATATGTCAAGTCGTTAGCCACTGACAGAGATGCACTGCTACGGATTCCAACTCGGCGACTATCCACTGCACTAACGGGCGAAATGATTTATCAGATGTCGAACAGAATCAAGCCCTCGAAAAGCGATAAAGCGTACCAAGAAATGAATGATGGTGATTGTTTTAGCGCGCTTTGCCTTTATCCACTAGAGATAGCTTATGATCGCTTCACCCAACATAATTCAAAAAGCTGTCCTTCAGAACACTGCTTGCCAACTTCCGCCGACATGTTTGATCTCAAGTGGTAGCTTCGGCGTTTTGCTTCACCAACCATCTTTGAGAAAAACTATAGCAGTGCCCATAGCAACAGCCTTTCATACACTACTTCTATCCCTGTTGCAACCGATTATTATCATTAAGATCGAGGCCTTCAGAAGCTGTTAATTCCAGTACCTGATGATTACGTTGATCGACCAAACCTGAGCTAATTCGCCGTTGTTTCTTGAAACATTCAATTCTGTATCCAGTTATGCCAAATCTGACTTTTAAAAAGGAGATATTCACATTGGAATCATCCTACACTGATTGTAGACATTTCGCTGGAAGAAAATCACAATGAACTTTAATGTCACTCTGATGTTCACTCGAATTCAAAAGATACCAAGTACAGTTGTAATCTGTGCATTGTCAAAAAGTATAACAAATCATCAGCATTAGAAACAAATGCAATCCTGGCCCTGAGGACTGATCTGAGTAGAATTCAGACTGCTTCCGAGATCGTTTGTGCCTAAAAGTTGATCAGAGAGATGAAAACAACAAAGACAAACCTACCTGGGCTTCTGCCGCGTGGTCACCATTGACTTGCTGATCCGGTTTTCCATCGATTTTGGGCTTCTTCGTTATCGGCGATGTGCCATCCCCGTTAACTGGATTAGCTCCGTTGACATCGATCTTGTTCTCGGTGACTTGTCTCTTTTTACGGACTAGGTGCGATATGTCATCCACGGGTTTTTTGTCACAACTTGTTTCGGCGGTTGCGGGAAACGATGTGCTCGTTTGCGGTTGTAGTTTTGAGGCTTGAAGGTCTTCTTCAACCTCCGACTTCCGCGTTTCTAACTCTGGAATGAGTGTTTCAACTTCTTTCAATGAACTCTTAAGCAGTTCAAGTTCATTCTCATTGTGCGATTTTTCGTCCTCGTTTATTTTCTTTCTTAAGTTCGCTGCGTGTTTCTCCAGTGAACTTATTGCTGCCTCAAACGCAGACATGGCGCTTTCAAGACTTCCGGCCACCGCGTGAGTTGTGCCGATTTGAAAATGAGTTTCAGCAACTTCGCGGTGATCATCTGACAATAGGGATTGTCTTATAACGAGACATTCCTGGATGGGAATAAAAAATTGCTGAATGAAGGAGCCCTAGGAATATTACTTCACATTTAAATGACTAATAATAAAAACAAGTTGCGGCAACGGACGGTGAAAAAATTTCGGGGGCTGTTCAATGTTGCGGTTTCCTAACTTAGGTAAGATTAGTAGTTTTATGCACCCGAATGGACGAATGTTCAGCATTTTTGAACCATAAAACTTTCCAGTTGAGTCCAACCACAGACAATTCTTAATTAACAAACTAAATTCAGAAACCAAAGTCCCGACGGGATAGCAATGAACTATTATTCTTTTGTGGGAACGTGAAGAAACTGGGATACTATGATCACACTTATTGGAGGCGATCACTGTTGACCGCATACACGTGTTCCATCGACTTTGTTTATAGGCAGAACGTGGGAGATTCCATTTCTATCTCTGGGTAGCCTGCCACGATAAATTAATTGCTGCTGATACACTATGGGAGTGAATGAGGAAGGCGAGCCCCTTTTGCATTCCGAAATACCTAATACAAATCAAAGTATAAATGCGAATTCCGTGATAACCAAGAGGTTCAAGCTATTTTAACGAATTCAGCTTCGGAAATACCGAATTTAGTGGGAGTGAGCTAATGGACCTGACACTGATCTCGGTGCAAAGTTCGGAGGCAAAGGTATTTAACCATATTCTAACAAGGAATGATGGTTCTTATATACGTAAAATGTTACCTTCAGATCAAGGGTAGCCCAGGATACTGAGCATTCAAGATGAAATAGATTTAGTCTGCGTTCGAATCCACGTAAACAACGAATTAATTTCCATTTGATTCAGAACAGTGAATCAGTGACTCACCTGCAAATCAGATACAGCCTGAGTGTAGTCCTCTTTTTCACGACTTATTTCACCTAGCTTTTCGTAGCACTCAGCTACTTTCAAGCGGCTTTCATCGTCGTCCTTTCTCGAAAAAATTTTTCTGGCAACTTCGATCACTTCCCACGCGAGCTGCAAGTTGGTGACATCGTCTTCTTGCTCGTCAGTATCGGCTTCATTACATTCCTCATTTTCATTCTCATCCTCGGTCTTTTCTTCCTCGCCATTTTCCTCTTCCTGTACATTGTCCGTATCAGTAGTTTCTTTACCATCTTGGGCATTATCCTGTTCTTTTTCATCACCAACCGTGGGTTCGACATCTTGTTCGGTACCTGGTTTCTCCTCGCTGGAAGTGGGCTCTTCGGGCGGCACAGTTTTTTCTTCTTCGCACATGGCGTCAATAACTTGATCTGACAGCTCTTCTTTTTCCTCAGCTGAAAAAGTTAGTCTTAAGACGTCACTCACCTGTCATTTCTGGCCCTTGCACAACACATTCGTCTTCTGACTCGGAACTATCGCCATTTTCAGGTACTAGAAGAACGTCAATTGCCCAACAATGTTTTACCTCCTTCAAGTGCATTCCCGATAACCGTGCTCTCCATACGCGCTAGCTCCAAAAGTGCAGAGCCATACAACAAATTTGGGACACCTAGCCGATCATCTAAATCGCCAAACTCCGCAGCACTGTGGGCCAAAAATGAAATGTTCAAGCGCGAGACCTACAGTAATTCACAAGCTTTCTGAAAATTCTCTACCGCTTGTTGAATCTCAGAGCAGGCGAGATGTCGCCGACCTTTAGAAACTAGATCATCAGCACCAGCCATTTGAACTCCGTTTGAATTGTGTTGACCGCCTAAATCTTTGAAGGACAAGACACTACAAATTATAACAATAGTGATAAATACCTCCTGCCAAATTCTTAGGCAATAAAAACTCTTCAGCCTATAGTTTTGAGTGTTTCTTGATTGTTCTTGGAGATCAATGGTGTTCGAATGAGGCCTGGGTCCCGATGGCATAAACCCTGCCATTGTTCAGTTCAGTTCAGTTCAGTTCAGTTCAGTTCAGTTCAGTTCAGTTCAGTTCAGTTCAGTTTGCACAGGACGACGTGTGGCCCGGGCCAATCTTGCGTCCAGATTGATGTGTTGTTGGCTGTTCTTGTGGCTTCCAACACTGCGAGTCAATAGGTTTTTTCTGAAAGGCAGAAAGTAAGGTGCAGTATCACGTCCTGGGCAATGACGCTCAGGAATAATAGTTACTTACCATCAAACTGCTTCAGGGAAGAAAGAAGCCCAACAGTCATCTAATGCCCTCTTGAAGGCAATGACGTTTGAGCAACTTACCACCTTTTCTGGCAGACTATTCCAGTAAGGTATTACGCGACTTGTGAAGAACTTGGCTCGAATGTCCAGTCTTACAAGACTACGTTGTAGCCTTAAACTATGTCCCCTAGTGCCACTTGAGGGGATGAACTGGAACATGTCCTCGAACTTAAGTCCGGAGAGCCCGTTGATGATCTTAAAGACTTCTATTAGGTCCCCCCCTTACTCTTCTTCTTGCAAGAGAGAATAGGTTAAGGTCCTTGAGTCTCTGCTCGTAGCTCTTACCCCTTTGTCCCACCATCATTATTGTAGCCAGACGTTGCACCCTTTCAGTTCAGCTCAGTACTCACAGAACGAATTGCGGCTCTTGCCAATCGCACGTCCTGTTTTTTGTGTTGTCGGCAGTTTTATTGGCTACCAACACTTCGAGTCAATAGTGTCAGATCCATTACAATGTTTCGTAAAGTAAAGCCTAACGATCAACATTCAACTTCGGGAAATACTACTGCCCAGCATTCGTCTAGCTTTCTCTTGAAAGATTCGACACCAATACACTAAACCACCACTTCAGGTAATTTATTCCACAGTGGTATAACCCACTGGTATAACTAACGTAACCTTGAAGGTGTGCGGTTCAAATTTTTGATGTGGTAAATTCTAGTCTTGTAGGAGCTAGGTTATCGGTACCCCGGGCTAATACGTATAGGTCGCAAACGTTCGTTCGTACGAGGAGAGAACGAGACGATTCATGAAACGGAGGACGACGTGTATTATAAAGACCTGCAGAGCATGAGAGAGATACGGAAGCGTGAGCAAGCGAGCGGAAGGTGAAAGCAAACACGTGCTGACCGAGGAGGTGGCCTTGGTGTGATAAAACAATGAGATGCACAAGAGGAAATGTACATTGAGAGCGGGATGCTATTGGTTACTACAGTCTCATAGTTATAAACTACTGTGATTCAAAGCCACTGAAACCGCTGTAAATCGTGTTAAGTCCGTAAAGCCGCTTTGCGAGGATATTCGGAAGTCCTCGGGTGCTAAATTTTGAAATAAGTGATTTCATTGCGCAAGACGTTTTGCATAGAGAAAAGACCTGCACATTGCAAGCTTCCGCCTTGGCCAATCAGGTTGCTGTGGCACTTTTAAGTGCCAGAAAATGGTCTCTAGCGTTATTCAGAATGATTGTTGCGGTTACTGGTACCACCCAGGGTGTGCTCGCATACAAAGTAACGCCTACGAAGCTTACGTGGGAAACGACGCTTTACACTGGTTTACACTGGTGGCAAACGCTGAAGATTTAAAGAGGACTTCAATGCGTTTTGCAAGTCCGGGTCGGAATCTTACAGTTGTGCCATATGTGTCAAATTGATCACGTTATCAGAAACTACCGCTATGCGCGAGAGAGCATCGGCAACTACATTATCCAT